AAAAAGAAAAAAAACTAAAATCTATCATCTTCGTTATAATTGTCTTCTTAAATCGTTACTATTCTTAATTTTTTTTTCACTCCCAATATATAATTAAATCATCAAAATACAACTGTAATTATTATTAATATAAAACTACGTTATTAATATATAAGTAGTTTATTAATAACAATTAAAACAAGATTGTTATTAATGTACAACTATATAATATACAATTAAATCATTAACACAAAACATAAAATGTACGATAATTGAGATATTTATTTAAATATATATATATACATATATATATATATATTCGGTGATTTAGAAAAAATTGAAAAAAAAAAAAACAAAGGATATCTTGAACACTTTTAAAGTAGATTTACATTGAAATGATAAACCTTTTCGAGACATTTCCACGAACAAGAAGACTCAAGATAGTCGGGAAGTCGGCACAATGGAGGGAGATATATTTGAACCAAGAATGGATTCGTGGAATGCATAGTGCAACTGGAAACTGCACGGCCATCTCCGATCATTTTGCATTCGAGTACCGCGATTTACTTCAACGCTCTATTTTCCCCTTTCTCTCTCATTCTCTTTCTTTCTGCTCTCTCTCTCTCTCTCTTTTTCTCTCTCTCTCTCTCTCTCTCTTTCTCTTTCTAGTTCTCGCATTCGTTCGTTCGCTGGCAGGGCAGCCAACTTATTCCATCTGGATGCGAACAATTCACTATGGCAAAAGGTACTCGCGATATTCTTCGTTGACTCGTACAGACCCTACAAAACCGCTACCACCGGTGCTTATATTTTCCAGTTCCGTCAACAGCATCTGAATTGCCGCTATGAGTTTTGTTGCTCTGATATGAACAACCTGTCGAGTGAATCTAAACTGGAGATCACTTTGCTACATATGTCAGAAAGATTAGCTTTTCAGGGAGAAAAAGAGAGAGAGAGAGAAAGAGAAAGAGAGAGACATTCAAGTAGAACGACAACATTTTAACTCTGTATGCTTTGAAACAATTTTATAATTTAGATAATCTCTGAAGAAGAAGAAAACAAAAATGTATCACATTACACTAAGTAAGAAAATAATTTTATAAAGAAAAGACCATTTGTAGCGTTATCGTAAATGTTATTATAAAAAAAAAAAAAGAAAAAAAAAGAAAAAAAAAAAGAGAAAGAAAGAAAAGAATGTTTCACTCTTATCGTCGTTTGCACTGTCACAAAAATAAATGGCTGGCATAAGCGAGGGTTATGATAGATTTTTAATTAAAAAATAGTGACTTCCCCGCGTGAATATAAAGTCAAGAAGGGAAGAAAATGAAGCGGTCAGACCGCGAAAACTCGAGCATATTTTTTCATTATCCTTCTAGGAGTTTCCACCCATTCGATGTCACAGAAAGAGCGAGAATTTAAATTACGAACTCCTCGTGCACTCGAGTTCATTCCAGAGCGAAAGAAGAGAAAAGAGAAAAGAGAAAAGAGAAAAGAAAAAGGGAAAAAAAAAGGGCGAGAAAGAAATCGGATCCTTCTTATTTCTGCTGTAATACTTTGGAAGTAGCAAAACTGACAACGACCACGATAAAAGTCAAATCACCGTAATTCGTTATATACTGATATTCGCTGAAACGAAGCGCTAAAATGAGATTCCAAAGAGGCAAACAATAATTTACAAGCCGAAGAATTCTTAACAAAGCATCCTCCACAAGATAAAAGTTTCATTATTTTAATTTACTTGAAATAATCCACCCACGCGAAACTTTTATGGTAAACTTAAAAGGCAAAGAGAAAGAGAAACGGGCAAAGAGACAACTAAATTATCGAGCCAACGGCGGCTATTTTTTT